TTTTTAATTAAATGAGTATAGGAATAAAATAATCAGTCTAGTTCTAGTTTTCACACATTTGTAGTCTCAGTTTGTAGTTTGTGGTGGGGGAACGAGACAGGTGAGAATGAAAGTCAAAAGTGCAAAGTAGCATTCCTAGTGCCACTTCGGCAGTGGAGACGGTGCACTGTTAGTTCAGAGGAGGCACAGAATTGGGCTGAGGCCATCCTGGAGGGTGTGAGGAGCAGGGAGGATTTGAGCTGGGTGTCAAACTATGTACAGGGGGAAGGGTGTTCCGTTCTAGGAGAGTAGGGGTGGCCAAGGCATGGAGCAGACTCTCCCAGGGAATTGTAGTCACAAAGTAGTTTGAAGTTCACTGGAAATTGATTTGGGGATGAACTTCCATTTGATTGTCAGTCTTTTAAGAGGGTACCTGTGAAATTTTAAATTAAAAATAGAAAATTGTTTTAAAATGCAGTTTTGATGATTTTTACAAAATACTTGGTATATTTAGAAATTATTGTTTATAAGTTTTGAACTTAGAATATTCTTTCTGTGTATCCATTTATCCATTCATCTGTCCATCTATCCATCTGTCACTTGTTCTCAAATATAGTTTTGGATCTTTTATGATGTGGACGGTGTCCCCAGTGCTGAGCCAGAAATATTATTAAGATGGTGCCCTTGTCCAATCTCCACAGTCTTAATTGTGACTGGGAGATCTAAAAGAGAAGGAAAGCTGTAAGTTTTGTATTTTTAATTTTTTATTATGGTAAAACACAGGTAACATGGGATTTACCGTTTCAGCTATTTTATTATTTTTTAATTTATTTTAATTGTTCTGGTACAGTTTTTTTGTCTTTTACTCCCATCCCAGCCCATCCCCGTTCCAGCCATTTTAAAGTGTACAGTTCAGTGGCGTGAAAGACATTCACGTTCCTGTCTCTGTTGCGGCCGTTATCACTGTTTTCATCATCTGAAACTCTACCCACCAGAAATTCATTCCTTTTTCAGGCTGAGTAATATTGTAATTGTGTTATAGGTATATACCACATTTTGTTTATCTGTTCATCTGTCAGACATTTTGGTGGTTTCAACTTTTCAACCATTGTGAATAAGGCTGCTTGGAACATTGTTGCACAAATACCTGTGTGAGTCCCTGCTTCAATTCTTGATTATATATCTAGAGGTGACTGCTAGATCATACAGTGATTCTGTGTTTAATTTTTTTCTGGAATACTTATTTTATGTGTCAGGTCTTTACAGGGAAGTTTTTATATGATACCTCATTTATTCTTCACCAAAACTCTGCAAAGCAGGCATTAGAACATCCATTTCACAAGGAGGGAGCCATCTCATGGTGTAGTCATAGCCCCAGTCCACACATACACCTAGTAAGAGGCAGAATTAGCATCTGAGTTCAGAGTTCAAACTCTTCTAATGAAGTCAAATTTTCATAAGACAGATACAGCTCACATGAGTTCTAATCTGTAAAATATTAGAATCAAAGCACATTAAAAACTCTAGTTGCAGAAGCAGTATCCTTTGGTGATGACCTGGAATGAAATGCCTACTAATTTCTAGATCACAGAGACAGTCAACCTGCCTATCTGTCTGAGTGGACGAGTGAGATGAGGCAGTGAAACCCTTTGTATCCCAAGCAGGTTAGATATTTCTCCGCAGCTACCCTAGGGTAGGGTATCCCATGACATGAGGGATTCCAGAGTTTGTGTCCACTTGAAAATGCAGACTTGAGCCAGAATCCTAGCTTTGCTTCTTACTAAAACATATCCTGGGACAAATTGCTTAACCTTTGTGTAGTTTAGTTTCTTCATTTGTAAAAACAAATAATAATTGTAGCTACTTCATATAGTTCCTATGAAAATTAAGGGAGTAGATCCATGTAAATAAGTGAATTTGTGCTTAAAACTATGCCCAGCACATAGCAAGCACTTGCAACCAAGGTAAGATGCTGTTACATTTTTTTCTTTTTAAATTTTTAAAGTTATCCATTAACTAATTTTTCATTGGCACGACTTTAGATGCATCATCCACCTTGGTCATTTTCTTCTGGACTTTCTCCTGTTTGACCTTTTCCCTCCTCTCTTGGGATTACCAGAACTGAGCATACTACTCTAGGTACAATCTGATCAGACCAGACTAAAAAATTAGGTATTGCCTTGCTTGTTCTGGACCCAATTAATCCTGATGTGTTTATAGTCACATATACTTATACTCTAATTAAGTCACATATACTTATATTCTCTAAGTAAGTCACTTATACTCTCTGTACTTATATCAAGTTTAATATCCTTCCTCTTTTTTCTGAAGGCAAAGAACTGAACTAAGTAATCTTAATTTCTTTCTTGTGCAAGGTCATCTTGGGTGGAGTTCAAAAACTTGTCTCTATGTTTGATTTTTTGAGGAAACTACCATACTATTTTCTGTAGTAGCAGAACCATTTTAGGTTCCCAGCAGTAGTGTTCAGTGATTGCAATTTCTTTTTTAAATACATTTTATTGATTATGCTATTACAGTTGTCCCATTTTATTTTTTCCCTTTTGTCCCCCTCTGCCCTGCACAATCCCTCCCCCCAGCATTTCTCCCGCTTAGTCCATGTCCATGGGTTGTACATATAGTTCTGTGGCTTTTCCATTTCCTGTACTATTCTTAACCTCCCCCTGTCTATTTCATACCTACTATTTATGCTTCTTATTCCCTGTGCCTTTCCCCCCAATATCCCCCCTGAACCCCCATGCTAATAATGCTCCATGTGATCTCCATTCCTGTGATTCTGTTCTAGTTGTTTGCTTACTTTGTTTTTGTTTTTTTAGGTTCAGTTGTTGATAGTTGTTAGTTTGTTTTCATTTTACTGTTTATAGTTTTTGATCTTCTTTTTCTTAGATCTAATCCCTTTGACATTTCATATGAAAAGGGCTTGGTGATGATGAACTCCTTGAACTTGAACTTATCTGGGAAGTACTTTATCTGCCTTCCATTCTAAATGATAGCATTGCTGGATAGAGTAATCTAGATGGTAGGTCCTTGCTTTTCATGACTTTGAAAACTTTTTTCCAGCCCCTTCTTGCCTGCAAGGTTTCTTTTGAGAAATCAGCTGACAGTCTTACAGGAACTCCTTTGTAGGTGACTGCCTCCTGTAGGCTTGCTGCTTTAAAGATTCTTTCCTTCTTTTTAATCTTGGGTAGTGTAATAATGATGTGCCTTGGTGGGTGCTTCCTTGGGTCCAACTTGTTTGGGACTCTCTGAGCTTCCTGGACTTCCTGGAAGTCTGTTTCTTTTGCCAGAGTGGGGAAGTTCTCCTTCATTATTTATTCAAATAAGTTTTCAATTTGTTGCTCCTCCTCTTCTCCTCCTGGCACCCTATGATTCAGATGTTGGAATGTTTTAAAGTTGTCCCAGAGGTTCCTAAGCCTCTGCTCATGTTTTTGAGTTCCTGTTTCTTCATTCTGTTCTGGTTGCCTGTTTATTTCTTCCTTCTTCTCCAAACTCTTGATTTGAGTCCCAGTTTCCTTCCTGTCACTGTTTGTTCCCTGTATATTTTTCTTTATTTCACTTTGCATAGCCTTCACTTTTTCCTCTATTTTGCAACCATACTCAACCATTTCTGATTACTAGTGTTTTGAACTGTGCATCCTGATTACCAGTGTTTTGAACTGTGCACCTGATAGATTGGCTATCACTTCATTGCTTAGTTCTATTTTTGGAACTTTGATCTGTTCTTTCAGTTGGGCCATATTTTCTTGTCTCCATCAGCCAGTTACATAGTAAGGGGTGGAATCTTAGGTATTTGCCAGGGTAGGGCAAACCCACATGGATGCCTGTGGTACTGTTTGTGGGGGAGGGGTCCAAGAGGGAACAATGGGCTTGCTCAGCTCTCAGTCACTTCCCCCACTACCCACAAGCAAATCGGGCCCTTGTGGTGCTCATTCCTGGGTGAGTGGTTTTGTGTACATTCTAGGACCCTGTAGGTCTCTCCAGTTAACTCTCCTGTGAGGCTGGGAGTTTTCTCCCATTAGTGCAACCCCCACAGATATTTTTTCAGTCAGAGGTTTTAAGGCTTTATTTCCCATTGCTGGGATGCTGGGTTGTGTGGTCTCTTGTTCCCCAGTTGTTCCTTGCGGTTTATATGCATGCAAATGGGGGACTACCCAATGTGCCAGCTGCCGCCTGGTCTGCCCTGGCCTGCCGTGTGTTCTCTCTGACCTGGCTGCCTGTCTCTGCCCCTCCTACTGGTCTGGATGAATGTTTCTTCTTTGACTCCTTGCTTGTTGGACTTCCTTCCATACACCTCAGTTTTCTGGCAGTTCTGGTTATTTTCTGCTTTTAAATTTGTACTTTTTTTGGTTGTGCAAGGAGGCAAAGTATTATCTACCTAGGCCTCCATCTTGGCAGGAAGTCTCTGATTACAGTTTCTTTACATACTGCCCAATATGTATCACTTTCTTTTCTGTTTTGTTTTGATAGTAGCCATTCTAACAGGTATGAAGTATTATTTTATTATGGTTTCAATGTGCATTTCTCTAATGGTTAGTTACTTGAACATCTTTTCATGTACTAATTGGTCATCTGTATTCCTTGAGAGAACATAAATGAGAATAAATGTTTTTCCCGAGCTGGTTAATGTGTCCAGGTATACTAATAATAAGCGACTGTGATCTGAGGTTACTGTGTGCATGAGCCCCTGTGCTTGTAGTCTGAAAGAGCTTAATGAACACATACCTTAATGAAGAATGAAAGACACTGTACTTTTAAACCTCTGATTTCCAAAGTTATTTGTTGTTTCTCTACATGTAAGGATAAATGGTAAAAAAAAAAAAAGTAAGCCCTGAAAATCCTGAAAATTCTAGATTAGTAATATATAGTAATTAAATTTTTTCAGTATTGTTTTTAAAATTATAATTATGGAAAGACAAAGATAAAAGGCACCAAATGGCAAAAATATTTGTTTTTGACTCTGAATTCAAAGTAAATTAGTTATTTTCTTTTCTTTTTTAAAATAGGGTTATACATCATTTTGGAATGACTGTATATCATCTGGATTACGTGGCTGTATGTTAATTGAATTAGCATTAAGAGGAAGGTTACAACTAGAGGCTTGTGGAATGAGACGTAAAAGTCTATTAACAAGAAAGGTAAGAGGAGTGCCGAACAACTTATCCTTGTTAAAGAGTTTGTGCTGCCTAAAAATGGAGAGTGTTTCTGTTAATGGACTTCAAAAATTAAAGAGGAAGTTGATTTTAAAGTTTTTATTAGATCATGTTTCTGTTATATTTTTTTAATTCTTGGTTTTCTGATTCTTTGTGCATAATGAGGAGTGTAATTTACTGTGACAGTCACTGGCCATGGCGTCTCACGTATGCAGAAAGACTCCAGACTTCATTTGCTGCTGTTGAAAGCCATACTGTATTTTGCTATGTATAATCCACTCCCATGTATACTGTACTTGCACATTTTGGCCTGAACTTTCAGGGAAAGAAAACTTCTGTTTTAATTTTTAAAGTAAATTATTTATTTATATTTAGAAACAAAACTGATTATCATATTTCAGGGTATTATTTTGCATATGGATATCATTGCTTTCTAGAGTTACACTTTTAACACATAAGCATAAATAAAGAATTAGAAACATTTATATAAATACAGAATTAGTACTACCCATATATAACATGCATCCTTACTTTTCCTTCAGAAATTTGGGCAAAATGTGTGTTATACATGGCGGAATATGGTGATTTGGGAAGACTTGTCATAACTTTCATTGTTTTTTGGGGGGTGTGGTGTTTCAAAACTTTTTTCCCTCAATACAGTGTCCTAATGCAATCCAAAGAGTTTTAGGTCAGAATGGAATTTTTTTTATTGATATGTTATACAGAGTAATAATCCTATAGGAAAGAAAGTCATTACTGATTTTTTAAAGGTATATACAAAGTAAATATGGTATATCAGAAAATAGTTTTCATGGGACTTTACAGTTAATTCTTGTCTGGGCATTTAAAGTCAAATGAGCTGACATGAGATAAGTTTTTAAATTATTGTTTTAGACAACTATATATATTATGAAGCAGAGGGTAATTTTATTTTATTTTACTGTGCAACCACAGAATTATGGAGGAGAAGACCTTAAGAGTCTGTTACAGTTATTGATGAAATATACACATGGGTTGCTAGTAATTATAGTAGTTATAAGTAATTTTGCATTAATGTTATGGATCCCAGACCTGAAGAGAAAATGTGTTGATACTGGTTCTTTGTACTCGTGTTCATACTTCTTTGTGGTAACAAGACCAGTTTTGTGTGCCATGCCTTGTGCTTTACCCTGGAGAGACAGCGGTGACCAGGACACGTGTTCCCTGCCTGTGTGGGCTTCTTGTTTCAGTCTGTGTGTTTCGGGGATCTTAGTTAAGTAGGTAGTTGATACATCTTTTGGAAAAATACTCAAGTGTGATTTAATTTACACACTTAAACCAGTTTTCTTTGTAGCTGTCCTGTTTTCTTACATGCTCCATCAGAGAAAATGTAGCAGTATTAATCTTCAGATGCTAAAATACACCATATAACTCCATTAACTCCATTAAAATTCACCTTATGTTCCAGTCTGAGTGAGTTATGCTTGGGTTCTACTGGGTTTTCCTGTGACGTTTTTACTGCTTTCAACTCTCTGTTTTCTGGATCTGATACTTTCTTCCATCCTTGCGGGAAACTGTGGAGACTTTGCATTCCTGTAGATGCTACTTCAGTTTTACTTGACAGTTTAGTTATATTTGACTGGCAGTAGAATGTTAGATTTAAAGTATTTTTTCATGGAATTTTTGAAGGTATTTTCCCATTGTCTCATATTTTAGAGTTGTGGTTAAAGTTTGATGCCCTTCTGATTTTCATTCTTTGTATGAGATCTGCTTCTTTCTTTCTGGAAACATTTGGGATCTTCTGTTTATTCCTGGCATTCTGAAATTGTATGATTTGTCTTAATGTGAGTCTTTAAAAATTCGTTATGCATGCATGCGCTCTTTCAATTTACAAATGTGTCTTTTGGTTTTGGATAGTTTTCTTAATATTTCTTGTATTTTCTGCCCTCTACTTTTAGGACTCTAATCACTTGGATGTGGGCCTTTTGGCTACTCTTTCTTTTTTTTGTGTATTTCCCAGTTTTATTGAGATGTAATTGACATTCTCTGACTTCTCTTATCTTTAACCGTCTGTTCAGTTTTTTTTAATCGTGGCTCTCATGTTTTTTATTTCCAGGAGCACTTTCTTGTTTTGTATCGTGGCTTCTCATTCTTGTTTTATTGGTGTAATATCTTTAAAATCTCTGATAAGATTTGGCTTTTCTAAAAGTTTCATATGTGTTATCTGTGTTTCATCAAAGTTCTTATTTCCTTTCTTTTGGTTTCTTTGCTTATGAAGGCTTTCTCTCAAAAGTCTTGTCGCCCTTGGTTATCTGTTCAGATTGAAGAAGGAGACTTTCTCCTCCAGAGGAAAAAAAAAAGTAGAAATTACAGGTGTGGGCACAAAATATTTGCCAGTGAGCTGCATGTTACTGAATTTTATTAAGGAGTTTAGAACTTGGAGTCAGAAGAGTTTTAAGCAGAAACAGTGGAATGTCATGATAAGATTTGTCTTGTGTAAAGATCACTGAAGAGAGTGGATTGAAAGGGTTAAACTAGCCAGGGAACTTAAATTAATCCACAAGAAAGATAACCAGGTTAAGTAGACTAGAATTGTTGCAGAGTTGATAGCGAAAAGTGGTCTCTCTGAGACAGATTAGGGGACTGAAATTCATAAGAAAAAATATCCTGATATAAGACCGCTCTCTAAGTGGGTGGGGTGGGCATGAGGTGGGCACTGAGGCTAGCTTGCACAGATTTCAGGCGTGAGTGGGCAGTAAGAAGGGGTGTGGCATGACCCCACTATATAGACACAACTTGCTCTCCGCAGGTTCTTCTTTGACCCCCTTACTGAAAGCGGGGTTTACAAGAGCGCTGTCCAAAGAACTTTCTGCCGTGATGAAAATATTCTGCATGTGCACTGTCCAATATGATAGCCACTGGCCACATTTGTGTGAGCGCCAAATGCTTGAGATGGGACTAGTGCAAATCGGGACATGCTGTGAATAAAAACGCACCCTGTATTTTGAAGACTTACTACAGACTAAGAAGGATGTGAACTATCTCAATTAAAAATACTTATTGCAGCCCTGGGCAGGTGCTCACTTGGTTGGAGTGTCACCCCACACACCAAAAGGTTGTGGGTTCGATCCTTGGTTGGGGTGTGTATGGGGGGCAACCAGCTGATGTTTTCTCTTTCACATCGATGTTTCTCTCTCCCCATTCTTTGTAAAATCAATCAACATATCCTTGGGTGAGGATTAAAAAAATAAAATAAAATATTTAATTGCATGTTAATATTTTGGGTATAATGGGTTAAGTAAAATATATTAAAATTAATTCCACCTGTTTTTTTCAATATAACTGCTAATACTTAAAAAAATAGATTTGTGTTTTGCATTTGTGGTTCTTAATATATTTCTATTGTCACACTGTCTCAAATAGATATTATATGTATATTTCAACCTTTTAGAAGATGATTGCATTTTTTGAACAAAAATGTAAAGGACACATTTTTGAGGATAAACTTAAGAGAGGACTGTTGCATTAAAAATAATACTGTTAAATTTCATCACATTTTAATAGCTTAAATAGAGTAATATACAGGTTTATATTTGATATTATACAATTTAAACTAGAAATTTGTTGCTGAGGCAGCAAGAACATTAATGAAGGCTCTGGAGTCTATTACTTGGCTAAAGCAGTGTAGCATGTTTCTGTCTCATCCCCCGAATCTGGACTTTTCCACCGTTAAGGTGGATTCTGTATCCTCGTAGAGTTTACACAAAAATTTGTAATACTTAAAAATTTTATGTCATCAAGCTTATTGGTGTTTTCTTTAAGTTGTCAGAACTTTGAAAAACCTTTCTCACCTTCCAAATTATATTTCATTATGTAAATCTTTATTTTATTGTGGTATATAAGCTCTGAGGAGAGCTTACTTTTTTACCATTAATGTATTAGTTTTAATAACATTTATTGACAAATGTATTTTTCTACTCATTAAATGCTACCTTGTATCATATACTGAGTTTTTACATATAATTGAAACTTTCTGGAGCTAATAAATGTTTAAAAATGAATTTATGGGTAAATGTAAATAGCCCAAGGTTGAGTAGTGAGAGTAATTATGGTTAGTATAAACTGTTCTAGCACTTTGCTTTAGTAATTAAGCTTGTTGTTATTCATGGTTGTAACTAATCTGCTTAGATTAAATGTTGGATTTTCTTGATATAGAAGTAATTTAAAATCTGAACTTTGATACTGCATGTACACTTGGGGCTTTAGCTACAATGAATTATTTGCATAATTAAGTTTCTCATTTGAAGAGAACAAGTCTCTTTAGGAATCTGTGGGTCATCTTTGTCTCAATGCTTACATTTTAGGTGATCTGTAAGTCCGATGCCCCAACGGGGGATGTCCTTCTTGATGAAGCCCTAAAGCATGTTAAGGAGACTCAGCCTCCAGAAACAGTCCAGAACTGGATTGAATTACTTAGTGGTAAGTTTCTGTGTGTAAACTAAAAATCAAATTCTGTTTAAATTTTTTTTTTACGAGTTTAAAATCCTTTTAAAAGGAACTCAGACAAAATAGCCAAGAGCTTGTTTTGTAATTTAGGCATAGGTTGTAAGATATCAGTCACTGAACAGGGAAAGTAGTGGTTTTTAGAATTTCATGCCCTTTAACAAGACTGAGCAGGTGTTGAGTGAGATGTTAATATCCTCCTTTAGAGCTCCCATCCTTTAGCAGAACGGCCTCATGCTGTCTTGTTCTGGGTAGGCTAGGTTACGCTTTGGTAACAAACAACACCCAGACCTGCAAGGCTTAAAACGATAGTTTATTTCTCAGTCATACTCTGAGTCTGTCACGGCTACTTCATTCTCCCTCTGACAGGCAGACAGGTTGAACCCCCCCCCCCCCCCCCAGCCCCCCAGAGCACTGTCTGTTACTGGTGTAAAAGGAGGAAGAGCATGGCAGGTCTCTCAGGCTCTTCAGTTGCTGCTCAGAAACGACGGGTTTCAGGTTTCATTGTATAGTAACTTATTTGTGTATTTGTCTAATCTAGGCGGAGAGCGCCTTCAGTACAAGAAGACCTAAGTTTTGTTCTTCCTCTCTACGATTAACATAAAATGTACCTGTGCATACAGTTGACCCTTGAACAGCATGAACTCCATGGGTCCACTTATATGACATTTTTCAATGGATACTGTAAATGTATTTGTTTTCCCTTAGGACTTTATTAATAACATTTTCTTTTTCTGACTGACCGACTGAATTGCAAAAATACAGTATATAATATAACATAAAGTAAAATGTGTGTTAATCATTTTTATGTTACTGGTAAGGTTTCTGGTCAACCGGAGGCTATTAGTAGCTAAGTTTCTGGGGAATCAGAAGTTACATGTGGATTTTCGACTGCTCAAGGGTCAGCGCCGCTACCCCATGTGTTTAAGGCTCAGCTGTACACGTATTGTTATTTCATTTCATGTTTAGACATTACCGTTGCTTAGCAGAACTATTGAAACACATGTGGACTTTGTCAGAGATTGGTAATTAACGTGACAAAAATTTTTTACTTACAGAGTTTCTAAAATAGTAGTCTCTATTAGGATGCTCTTTTATTAATAAAATTTTGAGCATTGCGTGTTTGTTTATTTAAAAATTGAATATATATACTCCATTAGCTACTAGGGCAGTAATGGGCACTTTACACTTGGGGCAGGATTCATTCTTTGTTTTGATAATTTTGAAATTTTGGTTTTGACTACCCTCTTGTAGATCTGCTGGTAAAGTTGCTTGCCACATTGAGTGAGAGAAACTTTATTCTTTACCTTCTTTTTTTGTTAAATATTTTACTTATTTTTAGAGAGAGGGGAAGGAAAGGAGGAAGTGAGAGACAACATCCATTGGTGGCCTTTCCTGTACCCCCCAACTGAGGACCTGCCCTGTAACCCAGACGTGTGCCCTGATATGAAATTGAACCTATGACCTTTTGGTTCACAGGCTGGCCCTTAATCCACTGAGTCACACTAGCCAGGATTACTCTTTCTCTTCTTCATGTTTATGAGATTGCTCATGTCTTAACCGATCATTTCTTCTGCAAGAGTCTTTTAAATTACTTTGCCCATTTTATGAGGATTTGTTTGGTTAAAACTAGATAATACGGTCCACAAGTCCACTTACTCAACACATACCAGTAGAGCATGTCGTGTGCCCAGCTCATTGTCACATCTCTCTGGTTATCCTTGTTCTGTTTATGCCTGTTGGTGACATGGGCCATCTGACAGATTCAGAGATTAACATCAACTGCGTATGTTAAATATTAACAAATACAGTTATTTTAGAAAAAAGTGGAAGTGCTGATAACTTGTAATCCTACCCTAGTGGATCATTTTGTACATCCTTTGAAGATCACCGACCTAAGCAACCTTTGGGTAGAGCTCATTTTGTACTGCCATTGTTAACCACCTCTGTTACTGCAAATTAGAACTTGTAATTAGGTTCTCAGCTGGCCCGAAGGAGGGTTTCTCAAAGTTTACCTGGGGTAGGGATATACCCAGGGGTTAATTTTATTATTACTTACACTGTGCATCATACATGCTAAACCTCCTGATATATTGTGAACGTTATTTATATGTGTGTGTATCTCATTAATTTAAAAATTAATATGCACATATTCGAGGCAAAGACTTAAATATGTTTAACAATGGTTTTAAGAATAAAGAGCTTCTGCCCTGGCTGGTGTAGCTCAGTGCATTGAGCGTAGGCCTATGAACCAAAGGGTCACCAGTTTGATTCCCAGTCAGGGCACATGCCTGGGTTGTGGGCCAGGTCCCCAATAGGGGGCACGTGAGAGGCAACCACACACTGATGTTTCTCTACCTCTCTTTCTCTCCCCTTCTTCTCTCTCTAAAAATACATAAAGTCTTTAAAAAAGAGAGAGAATAAAGAGCTTCTGGCTTTCTGAAATCTTAGGGCCTGCTGTTGATCAGCTTGGTCACAAGGTGTCACCAGACTGCCAGATTTCTGAACAGCTGCTTTTAGTTTTTTAATTTAATGTCAAGGAGGGCAAGGTTTTTTTTTTTTTTGTAGTAAATTATGTAGGTAGATGTTCTACTGACGTAGTTCCTGGGCAGAGGACATAACCTTTGAGGAACTTTTCCTCTCTGTACATACTGTACTTTGCCATGTGTAATGTGCACCTACGTTTTGGGCCCAAACTTTCAGGGGAAAAAATCTTTTGTGTTATGGTATATAGATATGGAATTAGTACTCCCCCCATATAATGCACCTCCTTATTTTTCCCTCAAAAATTTGGGCAAAAACTGCATTATTCATGGAAATATGGTACTTCTTTCAATTTCCTTTACAAAAAAGTGAATAAGTTATGTATATTTTAAATTTGCTTTTTAACTTAATAAAGTTTTTTCATATAAACAGTGAGTAAATTAGGGACTGATGAATAATAATATGAATTACAGTAACATCTTTTAATCTGGAATTTTTAGTATCCATTTTTCAGGCATTTATTACAGGTATTTAAAAGGTATTTAATATTCTGCTTAAATTGAAACAGCTATATTTTTAGTAGCACAAGTTAAACCTTTATTGTATCTTTACTCATCCAGCTACCCTTCTCCAACCCCAGTTTATACTGGTTTCTTAAAGTATGCTAATCTCAAGGGTGAGTCTCTTTGGATTTCGCCTAATTTGGTTCTTTTAAAATAAAAAGCAGAAATGTCAGGATACCAAGACACTTTAACCACTCAGTTATTTTTGGGGGGTTGCCAAAAATAGTATTAAACATTGTTACACTGTTTTAACCTTCTACTTATTATATTTCTTCATTTTTTCAAATACCCGAGGAGATCTGAATAATATTTTTGTTGAAGTGAGCATACAAAGTTTGCCCTTTTCCAGCGAATTGCTACAAAAGAAGATGATGTCTTATTCCCTTTTATTCCCTTTTTATTACTTCCTCTGAGGCAGGAAGGATTGCCCATAAGAGCATGTAGCCTTAAGTGGAACACCTCCCTTGAAGGTGGGTCTGTCTGTGTTCAGTCTCTTCTAAGTTTTTAGCACTGAACTGTAAGTTAGCATATTTTGGAATTGAGAAATTTCTTACAGCAACTTTATAAGCATTACATTGGTTACAATATATATGATTTTATTGTGGATAAGTTGTAGATAAACCTTAATATGACTTAAATACAGTAAACAGTAAGTCATAAATTGCTGATCCCATTTATTTCCCACGAGAAAGAAAAAAATTACTGTGTAGCAGCATTAGGAGGATTTTTTTTTTCCAGGTCTGCAAAGAGAAATTTAACTCTGGGTTTTTCAGAATAATTTTAATTGCCTCCCATTCCCCCCTTCTACCTCTGCGCTCCCCCCTTCACCCCCATTGGTTGGGAATAGATGGCTAATATATTCTCCGAGGTATAGAGTATCTTCCTATTTGACTAGCAGATTGCTAGGCAATGATTCTTTGATAACTAACAAATTATTATAAGCATAGTTAATAATTTACCTTAGCATTGAACTAGTTTTTTAATGGGCTTTTATGTAAATTTGGCTGTTGAGTAATTTGTTAAATTTTTTTTAATTTTATTTTTTCCATTACCATTTAGTCCTTTTATACCCACCTCCCCCTGGCAGTCAGCACACTGGTATCCACGTCCATGAGTCCTTTTTCCTTTTTGCGCAGTCCCTCCCTCTGCTCTCCACAGCCCCTCCACTCCAGCTGTCAGCCTGCTCTCTGTCTGTGAGACTTTCTCTCTTTTCCAAGTTAGTTCAGTTTGTTCATTAGGTTCCACATATGAGTGGAATCATACGGTATTAGTCTTTCTCTGACTGGCTTATTGCACTGAGCATAATGTTCAGGTCCATCCATACTGGTTGCAAAGGGCAAAAGTTTCTTTTTTATGGCTGAATAGAATTCCATTGTGTAAATGTCCCATAGTTGTTTGTCCAGTCATCCACTGATGGACACTTGGGAGTAATTTATGTTTACTAGTTTAAATTTCCAAAAGTTAATTGAGAATGTTAGAAAACACAACCTCGCCACTTCTAGCCTAGTGACTTAGGCTACCCACCACCTGCCAATGGCATTAAAAAGCCAATACAAAACCCAGTCCCTCTGGTGAAAGGCGCAGCAGGCAGGCATTTATTGAGACAGTGGGGCAGTTAAAGTTCTGCATGTGATCATCGCCTGTCCACTTTATTTCTCCTGCTCAGAGTGCAGGCTCCTTTCTTTTCCTTTTGGAGGACGTGGAATCCTACTGGATTCCAAGATTCAGCTTTAAAGTTCTTTCTCCTGTAACTTTTCTGGAAACACCCCTTAACATCAAGCCTGAGTAATTTCTTGTTTCTCTGGGCGCTTTGTTCATAGTGTTTTTATGGCCCTATTTGCATCTTATTCTAGCCAGTATAGTTATATTATGCATCTTTTTTCTTCACTTGATTTTAAATTTCTAGTTAGAAATATGTCTTACTTTGTA